AGACCAAAGAGGAGCTATATGGATGCAGTTAGAGAGGACATGGAGGTAGTTGGAGTGAGGACAGAGTGAGATGGAGGAGGATGACTCGCTGTGATGACTCCTGGAAGGAAACAGCTGAACGGAAAACTTCTCAACAGAGTGTTAGCTTGTCGGTAGATTTTAGAAACAAGACAGATAAGGGTCCAGCTTTGCCTTTAAGAAAATTAACTCAACGATTGCCTGTAAGAAATCCTTGGAGCTGGAGTCCAAACAAGATCCCATTGCCTTTCAGTGAATAACTTTACTTTGAAAAAAATGTTGGGGTGATGTATCAGAGTACACTCAGAAACATTTTTTAGGTATATATTGTTTTTGCCTTTGTGTTATTATGTGAAAGGGACTGTGACAGAGAGTGACGATGACAGGCAGCAGAGTAAAGAAGATGAAATGTCTGTCTCCTGAATATTTTTGATTTTAAACTAAACTCTGAGGTCAGTGAGTACACTTCAAAGAGGATTATATCATACATAAAATTATAGTTTTTAGCACCATATCCCAAATAAAGCCAAGAAGCTGCAAATTATTACCGTATTTTTTGGACTATAAGGCGCACTGGATTATAAGGTGCATTAAGTGAAACAAAACAGTCAGATAAGTCCAACTTTATTCAACTCGTTCACAATAACTCTCAACATTGTTCAGTTGTATCACATAAAATTGGTTCGAGGCAGTGGTGTAGTCTACATTTTTGTAGTGGGTATACTGTGCTTGGAAACCAAAGTACACTGGTTAGTAGAATGTAATCGTCAATTCATTTTGATTTTTTAAACATATTGAACATTTCCAAATTTCTCTGATGCTTATGTTTGAATAAATGAACAACAAACTCTGTACAACAGTTGGCTTTGTATTAAAAAGTTGTTATAGAATTTATAAAACAGTATCAAAGCAAAGCGCTGCATATTGATAGATTGTTACAGAAGTGTTTAGCTGCCATTATCAATGAGACATGGCTAATGAGATGTCATGTATCA